TAAAGACTATCCTTTCTCCATTGCATCTTTGTTGGAAATTAATTGACCATATATGTGTGGGCCTATTTCTGAATTCTCTGTTCTGTTCCATTGATCCATTTGTCTGTCTTGATGTCAACACAGCTTTATTACAATAGCTTTATATTAAGTCTTGAAGTCAGGTAGTGTAAACCCTCCAAATTTGTTCTTCGTTTTCAAAGTGCTTTTGGTTGTTCTAGGTCCTTTGAATTGCTATAGGAATTTTAGAATTGGCTTTCAATTTCTACAAAAAAGCCTACCAGGATTTTTGTTGAGATTATGTTAAATCTACAGATTAATTTGGGGAGAATTGACATCTTAATAGTATTGTGTCCACTCATGTAAGAATTTATAGTCTTTTTAAATTTCTCTCAGCAATGTTTCACATTTTTCAGTGTACAAATTTTGTCATATTTATTCCTAAGTATTTCATATTTTTGATACTATCATAAATGGGTATTGTTTTCATTTCCATCTCCAATTCTTTGTTGTTAGTATTTGGGAACACAATAAGATTTTTGTATATTGACCTTGTATCCTGCAACCTTGCTTAAATCACTTGTAGCTCTAGCAGCTTTTTTGTACATTCCATTGGATCTTCTACATAAACAATCTAGTCATATGTGAATAAAGACAGTTTTTACTTCTTCCTTTCCAATCTGGATGCCTTTGTCTTGATTGTTGTACATGTAAGATTTTAGTTTATAGAGGTGACTGAGTGATGATGACACAGAGAGGCTAATGCCACTGAAAGACATTTTTTACTACTTACATTTCCTGAGGGAAGGGGGCATTCCACACCCTACAAGGTCATCTGGGGAAGCAGTAGAGTCAGTCAGGAGACAGAAGCAAGAGCAAGGAGAAATCATACATCACAGACTTTATGGTGCTTTCTGCTGGAAAGGCAAGGCAGGACAGGGCAAACAGCTTAGGACTGGCTAGTTTGACTAATTCTGGTGGGCTTTGGGCTATCGATGCTGTCTCTAGCTGCCTGGTACCTGGCCCGGGGTTGATTTAGGGCAGGGGAAATATTGCCTTGGTGTGTGAGTTAGATAAAGGAGGTGTTTTAGACTGTGGGCCCTGGATTGGTTAGTTTGCATATGAAAGGCATGCTCCCAGGAGAGCCCTCTGCTGTCTCTAAGAATTGGCTAGCACTGGAAGGGGCAGTCTCTCCCCAGTCAGTGAGGGCACAAATGGCAGAGCATCAACAATACAAAAATAAGAAAAAAGAGTGAATACAATTGGTCCTGTTTTGAATGGATGCCAAATACATATATACAGAATATTTCTTTCCCCCTTATTGCATAAGCTAGATCCTTCCACACAATGAATGGAGGTAGTGAGAGCAGGTGTCCTCAACTTACTCCTGATCTTGGGGAGAAAACAGGAGCAGGGTGAGGTGCCGTGGACAGGCAAGGAGCTGGGGCAGTGATGGATGTGGCCAATGAGGAAGGGAGAATGGAAGCTTGGGGGAACTCGGCGAAGATCTGAGACAGTGGTTCTCGAAATGTGGTCCACAGCTCACGCCCTCGCTCTGCCCTGCTCCTGATCACACTGCTTCTGACCCCTCTCCCATGGGCACCCGCTGGCCTAAAGGGCTGCATTTAGGCGCCGTCCATCTCTGAATCACAAAACTCCAGGCCCTCATCTTCCTGGAAGCCCCCGTTGCGAGCAGAGCCACAGCTCAAGGCTGATTCCCAGGCCCTCTCATTTCTGCTGGTGGAAGGAGGATGAACAAACCGGGAGACCACACACCATCCCTGAGCAGAAATCACGCCTCACGATTTCTAGCCTCATGGGATCCAAC